TCGCTTTATCTGGAGCGTTCCCAAGGAGTCTGCAGTTCTCCTTGGCCATTCGACATAATGTGGGTAAAGCCGTTGGCTTTACTGTCCTTGAATTCTAGGATCTGGAGAACTATCATTCATTCATTTATTCAATCAACAAATTTGTATTAGGCGCTTATTATATACCACCGTGTATGTGTGTGTGAGGTGGGGTGACAGAAAAAATCCCCGCCCTTCCGATGCTTATATTCAATTGGCGATTACAGATTCAGATATAGGTGGAGATATTCACCGTTGCCAGTTATATTGCCTTTGCTTTTTCCATGTAGGCTTTCCTTTGGAGGCTTAAAAGGTATTTTGGGGTGAACAGAGTACAATTTAAGAGTTAAATGTTTTGAGGCTTGATTGTGAGAGACTGCTCTTCTCACTAGGTTGATTCTAGGCCTAAGAAGATAATAAGAACAAATCGTATAGATGAGGAGATTGAGGCACAGAGAGGTTAGGTGACTTGCCAAGGTCACAGAGCAAGTCCGAGGCCATGGCCCACACTCTTAATCCCCACTTCACACGATCCCCTGGGGAAGTGACAGCTCAAGGACAAAGGCCTGACTGCTGTCACGGAATCCTTACTTATCAAAGGTATCCGTTGGTTAATGTATAAATTTCATGCCAATTCAATCAATGCCCCAGTGAAATTTCTCTTAACAAAATAATTCTAAAATATATGTATAAAAGAATAAGTGTGATGGGAGGGAGGTAGAAAGCTATGACATTTTTGAAAAAGAAAAGTAACTAAGTCTTGCCCTACCAGATACTAAAATGCCATAAATTATAAAGCATTCTTGAACTAGTTTGATGTTGGTGCCAAAAGTAACAGACAGATAAATGAACTGGAATAAGTAGGCCAGAAAAAAAGCCCCAGTGTAATTATAATTTGGTTATATATTAAAGGAAGCATAAAAATCATTGAACAAATGGTACTGGAACAATTGTTTAAAGATTTGAGAAAAAATGTTTTAATTATATTTTTACCTCTAACCATTTTTCAAGATAAATTTTAGATAAAGAGTTAAATGCTAACAAAACCGTTACAAAATAACGATGAATATACTTGAAACTCAAATCCCAGTAGATAATTCTCAGCATGTCTAAAAACATTACAGATATTCAACCTCACTAGTTTCCAAGAGAATGCAAATTAAAACGATGACGTAATTTAATCTAGCAAAGTAACAAAGACTTAAAAAAGGTTCAGTGTTCTTATGGGTGTGGGGAACTTGGTGATTTCCTGCCCTAGTGGTAGACATGTAAATTGGCAAACTTGTCTACAGAGCAGTTTGGCAAGAGTCTTTTCACCGTTTTAATCTATTGACCCAGTAATGCCACTTTTAGGAACCTAGTCCAAGGAAGTACTGAGAAATTCTAAAATTTACATACAAGAACACTTACCATGGGTAATTTATAATAAGAACAAATAACTCAAAAGTCTAACAGCAGAGGGAGAGTTAAATGAATTAAGAAATAACATGCTATTATTCTCATTTTAAAAATATGGTGGTTTCTAAAATTTTAACAGACATAGGTATAGATAGATAGAAAAAAGATTAAAATGAAACATACTCAAAAACTAAGTGACAGGTGAGTGAGCAGATTACTGATTATTTTTCTGTTCTTCAAATTTTTCTATTTTCTCTATAATTTACATGTATTACTTTTAGATTCCCAAACATGTTGAAGTTGATTTAAAAATATTAACCTGTTCTTGTTCTCTTATGCTTCTGTTATTTCACCCAAAATACCTGAAAAATAAGTTTCTTGAGGGGTATGAAGGAAGGGGTCCTGCTCTGGTCCCTGTCCTTGGGGACAGGCACAGTCTGAACCCTAGACCAAGCAGAAGAAATGAACTCAAGGATGCTGGCGTCTTTTATCTTTAGTACCAGGTCATTCTCTCGCTTTGGCCTCATTTCTCTGACTCCTCTGTGTCTGCCATCAAGTAAGTCGTTTCTTCGGCACCTGGTCTTGACCTCATACAAGATCAATCATTTTCTCAGCCTCTCTCTTTTTTTTTAAGGATGGTCGATTAGCCATCCCTTTTTATTATTTTGTCACTGGTAAGTAACAGGGCTCGGTTGGTCGCGGCCCTTGCAGTCGCACAGTAAAATATTTACTTGGTGCGTGTGCACCTGTCCCTAGAGCCCTTGCCTGGCCAAGCTGACCAGCAGCTTCTCAGGTCTTGCTTCACCGCATGGGTCCTCCCAGAGGGGCCTCCGGGGCCGAGCATCCCACCTGTGCAGAGCTCCACAGCGATAGACTCAAAAGAACCAGACTTCTGGGCCTTCCGGTGGTCCGTGTGT